GTTAATTACTAATTAAGAAATTACGAGTTGAAATAATTACTAACTACTACGAACAAGTAACGAATTACTTAATAAGAAAATAATTGATAAGATCATTGAAATATGCCAACAACACATTTTCAGTCATCTTCACAACTCGCTTAACAGTACACTAGTTTTTCAAATGACTCGCACAAGAATCCGTAACGTACCCCTCGCTCTTTGGAGTCCGTCCAACATAAGCATCATGAAGGAAAGGGATGGAGTAGTTCATAATTTGAAATAGAAGCAATTTTATACGTTCGTAGAAAAAATGTTTGTATTTAGTGGGCGAAGTGATTGTCGTTTCTTTTTCTTTCTTTCTTCTCTTTTTGCCTCAACAATATATCTGTCTCGAAAAGAATAACTCAATGTCGATCGTACAGCAAACAATCATTTCATGCACTTAATATAAAATAACTTCAGAATAATATAATAACAATAATAATAAAATGTTCTTTGTTAGTGGCAACGCTCAGGCCGTTGAACCTGTTCTTCCGCCTATCCACGTTGAATATTTACACCATTTCAGATACTATGAAAAAGATAGAGGGGAGGCCAGAACTTTAGTTTTACTTCTGGAGGAGCAAACTAGAGACATCCCGGCATACGCCTTAAGCGATTGGGTAAACCGAGAAAACCTTGATCAGGATGGCTCCATGCTAGTATTGAAAAGATTTACAATATATTGTGTACAGTGTCTCTTTTCATGCACGTTCATTAACCGACAATGAAGGTTCCGCACCGCTTGCAAGGGCCATACATTTGCATAGTGTTCTTGGTGAAACGAGGCGAAAGCACGCGCAATTGATTACATCGCGCCCCGACTTCCGACAGTTGCTGCAAACACGGGACAGCATTGGAGAGCATCACCGCATCCGTATTCATGGGCAGGATTCTCGTCGCATTCACCGTCACACTTTCACACGGGCGGCACGTGCGCGCCCCGCTGCCTCCGGCCGCCAACGGGATTTCGGCGGCGCCACGCGACACGGCCCTTCGGCCGCTGCGCCGCGCTGCGCCCGGCCCGGGAAATGCAGGGCCTTATAACTCCCATATAACGTGGTGGAGACCAGGGTCCGGCAACTCTCCATCAAAATCGGGGACAAAGCTCGAGGTTGCTACTATAGGAAGCGCTAGTGTCGCC